AACCAAGTATTAGCATCTATTCTATTTATTAGCTTAATGAATTCACTCAAACTATTTTGGTCGTTTAATCGAGGTTATGAAGATCAAGATGGTTTAGCCTGTTGTATGGTCGCAGTCTCCTTTCGTTGTATAGAAATTGTTTTACCATATCTTCGCAATTTGCCCACATTAGTAAAAATGCCTTGAGGAACGCGCCTAGTATGGGGTCCATAGTGTGCATGATAATTTCCAAAATCAGATCGTGGACGTGGTGGTCTTCGTAATGCACTAAGTCTACAGTCCGACTCTGTAAAGTATCATTCACACTAAAGAATTTGGACTAGATGTATTCCTCTAGGTTTTTTAATTTGTAAAAACAAGGTCGAACAACGTCTTTCTTTGCCGTTTTACCAAACAGCAAAACAACCGTCATTATATAAAACTAATAAATTCGGAACTAAGAGTGCCTCTTGGAACACATGAAATTCTAATAAGAACATAAAGTGATTAGCTAAAATATGGGCTAAACAGGATTACATAGACATTCTCCGTGTCTGGTCGCGCAATTTACCATTGAAAATAAAATATGTATTATGCATTGCCAAATTTACTAATCTAATCATCGAATCTTTGACAAACTTTTTACTTACTATCATTTCAAGGTGCTGATCTAGAGTTAATTATAAAGCCTTTATTGACTCGTTTATCGGAGTTCTAGTTTTCATAGACATAACAATAAAACTTACCAACACGTTTTCTCTTTCTATCGTCTGATCATCAATTAACTTAATAAAGTCTAAGAGTTCTTTACTGAGAAATTCTACGTATCAAAGATTTGCTTTAACTGAGCGCATATAAATCATGATGTTTTACACATCACGCTCTTTCTATTATTTACAATAATCTCAAGTGGGGTAACTTGATTTTTCGCATTAACTATTGATTCGAGACTACCAGTGAATCAGTAATATGAGATATATTTACCCAATTTCGTTTAAGGTAATGAAGGACTGGTAGTAGAATTTGCCCACAATGACATTAGTAGATTTAATGTTTCCGTCATATTGCTATGTTTAGCCTTGGGTAACAGGCCAGATGTAAATTGCTGAGTTTCATACCTTTTTCCATACCATAATCTCTGGTTGGAGTGTCACCTTAAGCGAAATAGATCGATACATTTCAAATGACTGATTAACTGGTAATCCATGAAGCTTACTCAAACCACCTATTGCCAGTCCTAAACGAAAAATGGGGTAACACAGTTCATATTCAAGATCTACTTGTGGTCTCGAAGGCCTACAGAAAAGTGGAAAAGTTCACCTTACGACTAGTTTTATCATCTCTGATGAGGCCTGCCAGTTTGCATGGTAAACATGAGCTTAGCATTTCTGCATGATGAGAAGCTTTTTGACAAAAGCACGGATCAAGTAAGCTAACCACGTTTCAGTCGAAAGTGAAGGAGGTTGTCTAAAGAGTCGCGTTAGCAGGAAGATCTCAAAAACTCTGAGCAACCGAACAAAGGGAAATCCGACAACCTTAGGCTAGACTAAACATTTGAACTTACTATATAAGGGCTCATTTTATTTGCATTCCGAGGGAAAGTGTTTAACGAAGAGATTCGCGAGGGTCGATCTTACCAGAAGATGACGGAGGGCTCTCTGAGGTCAGATGTCGTTTGATTTTACTGGAAACATTGGGCCCATGCAATCTTCAAGATATGCTGATTTTGTTTCGTCTTGTCAGTTATAAGATATCCTCAACTCACTGCTGGTTAATAATGCTAATTGACGACCATTTCCCAAAATATATACTCATAAA